ATACATACATACATACATACATACATACATACATACATACATACATACATACATACATACATACATACATACATACATACATACATACATACATACATACATACATACATACATACATACATACATACATACATACATACATACATACATACATACATACATACATACATACATACATACATACATACATACATACATACATACATACATACATACATACATACATACATACATACATACATACATACATACATACATACATACATACATACATACATACATACATACATACATACATACATACATACATACATACATACATACATACACACACACACACACACACACACACACACACAACACACACACACACACACACACACACACACACACACACACACACACACACACACACATACACTCACACTCACACACACACACACACACACACACACACACACACACACACACACTCACACACACACTCACACACACACACACACACACACACACACACACACACACACACACATATATATATATATATATATATATATATATATATATATATATATATATATATATATATTCATACCATCAGAAACCGACGACATATGACAAAAATCCCAACAGAAATTTATAAATACCTGCATATGTGTATCTATCTATCTATCTATTTATACACACATATGTGTGTGTGTGTCTGTGTATGTGTGTGTGTGTGTGTGTGTGTGTGTGTGTGTGTGTGTGTGTGTGTGTGTGTGTGTGTGTGTGTGTGTGTGTATGTGTGTGTGTGTGTGTGTGTAGTAAGTAAACCAAATCGAGATGTATGACTAAAACCGGTAGAGCGAGAATCAACTTATATAACCACGCATAACTTACTAGATGATCAAACCTGTCCGTAAGCAAGGAATTAATAAAATCTTATTTGATGCAGCTGTACCGGAAATTATCATATTTATTTCAGTTTACGCCGTTCACTCACTGATTAAACCATATGCAGTGGGTATCCTTGCTTGAAACTGATATAGAGAGAAATAGAGAGAGAGAGAGAGTGAGAGAGGGAGAGAGAGAGAGAGAGAGAGAGTAATGCCGTTAAATTTCTGCTTTCCTGTTTGTTAGAAAGAGAATGAGAGAGAAATAAAGAGAAAGAGAGATAATGAGAGAGAAATAAAGAGAGGGAGAGAGAATGAGAGAGAGAGAGAGAGAGAGAGAGAGAGAGAGAGAGAGAGAGAGAGAGAGAGAGAGAGAGAGAGCGAGTGAGCGAGCGAGAGAGAGAGATTGAGGGGTGGGGGAGAAGGGGGAAGAAGAAGGAAATTAGAGGATGAAGGAGAAGGAAGAAGAGAAGAGAAGGTGATACAAAACAAACACTCATCAGAACTTTCGATATTTGAAGTCATTAGTGCGTATAAGTGGTTTCCGATGGTGATTTTTGATTACTGCTTCGATTACTATTACTGATATCATTGCAGCAGTAGTAAACATAACGGCAGTGAGAGGGATAACTGTGGAATTGATAATACTAATACTAATAATAATGATGGTAATGATGACGATGATGATATTGGTGGTAATGATGATAATGATGATGACAATAACGATAATAATGATGATAGTAAATAATGATTATAATGAGGATAATTAGCGATAATGATAATGGTGAGGATAATAGAACTAATGATAATAATGATAATAATAACGAAAATTATAATGGTAATTATGATTATAATTGTAATAAAATAATAAGGATGATAGTAATCATTATCATAATCATTATTGTTTTTATTATCATCATCATCATAATGTATATTATCATCATTATCATTATTATCTATATTGCCATCATTGACATTATTATCTATATTAGTATCATTACCATCTATACCATCTTTATTATTTTTTTGATATTGTTGCTATCATTATCATTATTATTGTCAATATTGTTATTCTTTGTAATTGTTGCCGGTATTATGATCATCATCGTCATTATTACTGTTATTTTATTATTAACATAATAATTATTGCTATATTATTATTACTATTACTGTTATTATTATTATTATCATTATTATTATTAATATTTCTGTCGTTATGATCATCGTTATCATCATTACTACTATTATTATTGTTGCTGTGTTTTATTATCATCTTTTCTATTATTATTGTTATTACTATCATCATTGTGATTTTTATCATTATTAATGTTAATGTTATCATTATCATTATTACCATTGTGATTATTGTTATTATTAATATTATTATTACTCTGATTATCATTATTATTGTCATCGTTATTATTATTATAATTATTATTGCTATATTTTTCACTATTATCATTATTATTTTTTATTATTATCATTATTGTCTTATATCATTATTATCATTAATATTATTGTTATTATTTTATTATCAGTATTATTATTTCTTATTATGATTATCATTATTATCATTATTTGTATTATCATTATTATAATGATTATTACTATTGTTATTATTGTTATTGTCATTATCATCGTTATTAACATTATTACCATTATCATTATTATCATTACTACTATAATGATAATTTTTATTATTATTATTTCATTATTATTATTATTATTATTTCATTATCATTATTATTATTATTATTATTATTATTATTATTATTATTATTATTATTGCTGTTATCATTAT